AATGGAAGAATTCATCAATAGTTAAAACAAGAAGGAATATAACATTTCACAACTAACACTGAATGCTGCTGCTAAAGACAAAAATCAAGCATGCCATTTAACAGTGTAAAATAAAGGTCACAAATTTTACCTTTCTTTATATGTTAAAATGTTATGATAAAGCAAATACCCAAGGAAAAAAACTCTCACCTTGCAAACGACTGTTCCAACAACTTGCCACGTATCTGCTACATCCTGTTTATCATACTGCATGGATTTTACCTTTTCAGTTATAGAAATAAAAACCTGTGGTTTTCCTTTGTATGTTCCAGCTTTCCAGGCTGGCTGTTTTGGTAGCTGAGTCATAGAAGCAAAATCAATATTATCCATTGAATTCTGTAAGTTAGCATCTAATAAAGTACCAAATGGACAAGCCTGAAGAAGCAAGTCAGGTAATTGACTCAATCTTGTATTTAGCTCAGTGTCATTTTTCTGACCAGAGAAAAGAAAATCTTGTATCCCAAAAAGAAGTTCCAAGCCTTGTGAAATTCCACTAATGCTGATTAATGGTGGGGGAGGAGACAGAGTTTGTTCAACTAGTGGGATACTGGCATATATCATGCCATTCCTCAGAAAAGCAATTACTGGCCAGAGTTCTTGACCTCCTAATAGAAGTCTATAGATGGATGTTTTATTGATGCGTGAACAACTATCACGACTCTCCACAAAGTCCTTATCATCATCCAATAATCGAAATTCAAAGAGAAGTGCTTTAAGAAAGGGACCATCTTCAGGAATAGGCACATAACTTGCTCTATTGAAGACTTTGGCTCGTTTTTCAACAGTAGGGAATCGTCTGCATAGGAAAACAAAAACGTTGAAAAGAGGGAAAAAAAATTAAAAACAGCCCTAAACCACATGGCAAACAGTAGCAATCACAAACATACAACAAATATATATACCAAGAAAAGCCAGCAACCAAAAAATATATGTGTATTAAGTTCCTACTACAGTGTTTCATACTTAGAATGTTACCTTAAATGATAAAATATCATTTATTATTAGCGATGCTAATTCAACTTACTTAATTTTAGGGTAAGAGTATGTGATTTTAATCCCACATTTTTATTTTTTAGTCTCACAGATTTCCTTTTGGTGGACAAGGGGTATGTATCTAGACCATTTTAGTCATCTGTAAGACTTCTGTTTTTCTTTTGATTCCTTCTTAAAGAACAGAACCACAGTTGTGATTCACTATAAACTTCTAATTTGGATTCACCAATTAAGATGATATAATTTAAAAAAGAATGTCCTATTTTACTCAGTCTATTGTAACAGGTATATTAAGTCTTCCTCCAAATATTAACAAGAACGTCTTAGAAACAATGGCTTATCTCTAGAGTCCTGGAAGATACTAGGAGGTAATAAAACAAAATCTGTAATTCTTTATTGCTTGCTGGCTCTGAACAGAACATTAAGTTACTAATTTATCTGTTCTCTTTGGAAACTTAATACAAAATGCTATTGTTCTTGTACAGAAGTCTGCTTCTCAGTTTGACAAAATACATTTTTCCTATTCCTTCTCCCTCCACTTCAAAGTCTAGAGTAATATTAACTATTAACTTTTGAGTAAATCATCTAACTTTCCTAAGCTTATTTTCTTATTTGTAAAACAAATAGGAGGGCCATACTACAGCTCAGTGGTATAGCATCTGCTTAGCAGCACAAAGCCTTGGGTTCAATCTCTAGCATCAAAAATAAATAAAATTAGAGAAAATAAAACAAATGGGTGGCAAAAAATCAGCTGTTTTTATCAAGGGGCCAGAAACATACTTCCCTAAAACAATGCTTTTTACCAATACCAATGTTTGCTAATAATTAAAAAAAAAGAATGTATTCCAAGCTATCAATCTGAGTAAATTTCCCTCATTTAAATTCTAAAAGTTATAAAGTTAAGAAGTTCATCTGGAACCTTAAATAATTCCTTAATATGTGCTCAATAAATATTTTTGTTGGATGACTCAATTTGTCATTCCAAATTTTATTCTAGGTTTTTTTTTTTCCTAACAGGAGTCAAACCTTAATTGGGCCTATAATTATGGACACAATACCAACCTAAACCAGGCTTAAGCTGATACTATTAGTATCTGGACAGCAAATATTTAAACTAGAATTTAATTTTTAAACCAAGTTTTGGTGTGCTAAGAACATTTGCCTTCTTAAATCTTAAACAATGGCCAATGTACATCTGCTCAGCCTAACTCTAGTCTCAAGAAGTCAGAATTCTGAAAATAATGTAAGCTTGATTTGTTGAATAATACAGAATCAGTATCAGAGAGATAAATTATGTGAACCCAGAAAGCAGGGTTCACATAACCAATGAAGATATAAAGCTTAAATGATAATAGCAAAATTGATACATGGTCTAGAGAAAAACTAAGTAAGATTCCCACTTAACACCATGACTGAAGGAGTACCACAGATGAATTAAAGACCTAAATATAGTAGATAAAATAATGTGGTATAGTTGAATTTAGGATTTAAGAGTAGGGTTGTTTGGTGGTACTGGGTTAAAAAATATAAAATGGTTTTGATTGTAACAAAACTGCTACTTTGCCAGGTGCCAGTGGCTCACACCTACAAAGGAGGCTGAGATCTGAGTATTCCTGTTCAAAGCCAGCCCAGGAAGACAAAACTTAAGGATTCTTATCTCCAATTAACTAGCAAAAAGCAAGAAGGAGAAGCATGGCTCAATGCACCAGTTGTGATGGAAAAATCCCAGAAAACTGAGGGATAGTATGAGACCTGGAGTTCAAGCTCTAGAATACACACACACACACACACACACACACTCACACACACAATTTTAATGGCAGGTAACATAAAAGTTATTGATGAACTAAAAGAAAATATGTGAATATCTAAAATGACATGCATTAATATAAAAACACACAATAAACTTTCATAAATCAAGCAGGGAAAAGCATTAACTTTTAAAGTAAAAAAAGAGAAAATGTATAGGCAATTCACAAGAAGAGCATACATAAAGGACTCACAAATAACACAATTAGATATCCCTTACTGGCAAACATCAGATTAAGTGACATGAAATAAGAGAGATACAGAAACCCTCAATGTGTTGATGGGTACAATCAGTATTCTGGTAGTGTTTGGTCACTAGCATAGATATGTCCTATAGATCAATGTGAGTATAACTACAGAGCAATTGTTCTGATGGCTAGGAGGAAGGCACTAAAAAAGAGACAGGTAAAACGTGGAACAAGTAAAACATGAAGTATTACAGAGTAAGTTGAAGCAATGGCCTAGCTCTGTAATCCAATATGGTGGACACTAGGCACATGTGGTATTTAAACTTAAAAGTGATAGTGCTGAGAAATCTGAAAAATGTAAGAAAAGGGAATGAAAGTCTTGCATTCTTTTCTAATGTAAGAAAAAATGAGTCTTTTAAAATTATGTAACTTAACAATATATATGCAAACACACACAAATGACAGGATAAAATGAAATAGTGTAAGATTAACCCATGAGAGTAGAAATAGACAACCATAGGACAGTAGGTAAAATGGAAGGGTTCCTTAAATCAATGAAGCTGATGAACCATGGAGCTAAGAATATAATCAATTCTCTGTACCAAGGACCAGTAACAACAAATGTTCTCTGTCCTGAGGTCCAACAGCAACAAATGTTAAGTCAGGTATCCTGGAGGAAAATGATTAACTTCAACTCTGATACCTTCAGTAAGACAACTGTTTGGGTTGCAAAGACAGGATTTTTTTCATAGCTGCACTGTCAATCACTTTGCATTCAAAATTGCACTAATTTTTTATCCGTTTCAATCTCTCATTCAACTAGACCACAGGGCTTTCCTAGGAGAAGAATGCATTGTTAAGGTGGGAGGAGGGAGAGAAAGAACTATCAGTGGCCATTGAGAGTGAAAGGTGAAACAAATTACTACCTACATTTTAACTTATATTAAAAGCAGCGTACCTACAGCTAATTCTTTTAAAGTGGGACAAGATCATTTACATCATCAAAGGAAACAGTGATGGTAATTTAATGTTTTTCCCACGTCTTCTTATTTATTTCAACGACTGGGAACAGTAAACGACGGCGACTTCTAGCAGTCACGCACCTTGGTAAGATGAAAATACTACTGCTCAGTAATAACGATTTTTCAGCAGAATGAGTTTAAGATGACTTCGAATGACATCCTCCGTATAGTCTGATAATCCTAATTTTTTTTTCCCCTTTCCTTTCTCCAGCCTGCATCGACCCCCGAAGCAGATGGAGTTAATGTTAAGATGCCACCCTGGGGTGGGGGTGCGGGGCCCGAGGGGAGCCCAGGCAATACTTCATACGTGCCAGGTACGAAGTGAGTAGAACGCTTCCGCCTTCAGGGACAAAACAGGTGAAGTAAGATGCCCCAAGCCCTGGCGTGGCTTATTCGCGGCGGATCTGGGCTACAAAACATCCTCAGACTGTGCTCCGCCCTCCATCCCCGCCCCCGGCGTGCCCGAGGCCTCCGGGCGGCACTCACCTGGAGAATCTGACGGTGCCACCAGGTGGAGTTCCCGGTTCGTGGCGAACGAGCCACAGCGCCCGCTGGGCCATGGGGGGCCCCCGGCATCCGCTCACCTCGGAACTGCCCGCCACGCCCGCCGCGACCCACAGCGGCCGCCTCAGACCGACTCCACCAACACCTCCCGGGCTGGGTTCCGTCACCAGAGAAGCACCAGTCTCTCCGGTCAAGGCACGTCAACTCAAAGTTCTAAGAATCCGCACCGAGAACCTAGAGAAACTTGCCCATTCCGCCCTCCGCCAGCCAGCCGGTCTTCCTCGAATTTCTACTTCCGGGACGGTGGCCCGAGAGGACGAAACTTCCTCCAGGGCCGCCACGCGAACACTCACGAGTGCTCCAGTACTCGCTCTTCCGACGCCGGCCCCGCCCCGCCCCGCCCCTCCCGCGGCCTCCCCGGGCGCGCGCAGCTCCACTTCCGGCGTCCGAGGCGGTGACAATGGGAGCGGCGCGGGCGGCGCCGGGAGGCAGCTGACAGGCGTCGCTGACTTCGCTGCATGGCGGCTCTCTCCTCCAGCCTGGGCTCTGCGAGGACTGGGAGAGCCCAGGACTGCCCGAAGCCGGAGCTGACCGTGCCGAGCGGGGATCTGTGCGCCGCGCCGCGGAGGCGCAGCATGTGAAGCGGAGACGGAGTCGCGCGCGCGGCGATCCTCTCTGACGGCCGGGATGGCTACGACGGCCGAGCTCTTCGAGGTGGGTCCCGCGGCCGTGCGTGCGGGGAGTGGCAGGCCCGGGGTGCGGCGGAAGCTGGCCGCGTTCGTCGGGCTCTCCCCCCCCTCCCCCGAGCCCTCCGGAGCACGGTGCGAAGCCGGGGGGGCGGGGCGAGGTGGGATGGGGCGGCGGCCTCGCTCTCGGGGCGGGCTCCGTGCAATGGGGGGCGGGGGGGGCGCGGCTTCGGGTCCGGAGGGGGCCCGGGGTCGGGGGGGGGGAGCGTTGGTTTGTCAGGAGTGGGAGTCAGGAGGTTGCGGCGTTAGGAATTGTCTACCGGGAAGGGCTGGCTCGGGACGGGGAAAGCCCCCCCACCCCACCCCGAGCTCCCGGTGGGGCGAACCCGGTCGGGACGCGCGGATAGGCGGTAGCATTCGTAGAGACCACCTGGCGCGCGTGTGCGTGTGCGTGTGTGTGCGTGTGTGTGTATGGGAGGGGGACTCCCGGGGGTTTGTACCGAGCCACTGCTGAATGTTGTCCCGCTGCTTTTCCTTTACATTTAAAAAGGCTAGGAATAATCATTTAGGGCCCCAAAGGCCTACTTTATCCCGCAGACACAGGCAAGTGCACCTACCATGAACCGAGGGGCTCGGATCTCAGGGAATTTACAATTTTATGAAGCCACCGAACTGCTAAGCCAAAGGAATCCTTCCTGTGTGTTTGACAGGGAAGGGGAAGGATCACTCGCTGATGAATTTCCTGGTGTGTTTTCAGTGCCTAAACCTGCAATTTTAGTATAAAGTCCACTTTAAGGAGCTGTCATATTAGATGGTTGAATGAGACCAGGACACAATGAAACATACAAAATCTTTTCTTTTGTGAAAGGAATGAAAAGGGAGCATTAAAAAAAGGAAAGGTCTTTAAAAAAAAATATTATTAATATGAAGTACCAGAAGTGCTGTAAGTGGTAGACAACATTGCAGTTCACAGCTGAGAATTTCTCCAATAAAAATTGTATCTTTGAAAGCTTAAGATTTATTAGTTCTTGTAGCTTAAATTTTAGATGCCACTATTTACATAACAAATGTAACTCTTGATTGTTACTTTTGCTAGTAACTGCATCTTGGCTTTCAGTCACCTCTTGCATAGTTAATGCTTTTGTTGAGAGCAAAAAAAAAACCCCACAAAACAACCCATGTCAATTTAGAGTAAATTGTAACGAAATATTAATTTGTGAGTGTAGGATTATAATTTCACTCAACACTTAAATATTTGTTGCATTTTTTTCTGGGAGATTACACTAACATCTGCCATCTGTTCATTGATACTGGAGCAAGGAAGCATTCTTGTTCTGAATTCATTACTGTATGTTCCTGGGCAACATAGTGGTTTCTTGTTTGTATTTTCACATTTTATAAAGGTAGAAAACTTAAGGAATTTAATGCATTTCATGACAAGGAGACTGTTAGCAGAAAACCATTATATAGTCATACATTTCATAAGACATTATGTTTTGAATTAATGTCTTTTTTGATATTTATAGTTGTGTCTTCAGTCATATTATGTGTATTTAGAAATTTTAAATGTGTGATCACATGTGTTTGAAAAGGCTATTTGAAAATGTATTTTTTTCCAGAAAGAGAGGAGTGAAAAGTACATATTTTACTTTTTAACTTAGTGACTGGAGTTACATGGCAGCTGGAAATACTCAGCAGTGATATAGATACTGCTTAGAGGGCTCTTACACAAAGTTAAGCATGCGTATAGGCCTAAACACAAGTGACTTTCTTTACTGACCATATATCACTTGTTGCTTCATCAAAAGTAAACCAAATTACAGTAATAGTTAGAATGATGTATTATTAAATATAAATGTAAGACCTATATTTATCTTTTTTCTTTATGATTTTTGAGTATAGCTAGCCCTGTAGTGGCCTGTGCTCTTGAAATTACATTTTTATTCCCAAGTGAAAAGTTTACCTCTTTGCTTTAGAAAGAGGAGGACAAGAAAAAAACCCCTCAGTCTCTGCTGGCATTTCCTGCAGCTATTGCAATAGATCTAGGTTATAGGATAAATGAGGGTTTTTTTTTTTTTATCTCCTCTTTGACCTTCTTAGTCACAGCTGGAGAACCATGGAAAGCAGGACAGGATGTAGTCAAGGATATTTTGTTTGTATGCATCCTGGTTTTCATGCACTACTAAATAGAATGGGCTCTCATCTTCCACATTGAAGAACTGGAAACAAAATTAAACTTTGTTTAACCAGAGTTAACAATTGTCAGTTCTACTTTTAAAAAATATTTTGATCTTTTGAGTTTTCCCTTTTTACATAGACAACATCAAACAGCAAAATTGAACTAGGATATTTCCTTAATTGATAGAAGTGATTTATTAATACATAACTCAATTATTGTAATAATGTATATGTTAGAAGCTGCCCAGAATACCTTCTTAGTTTTCAACCCTTGTTGAAAGATCCTGAAAGGCTTCAACTGTAGTCTTTTAAACAACACACTTCAGGATGTCCTTTCTGTGGTTTGGATTAATGATATATCCTACATTTAAGAAGGCTTGGATGGTAAATACATTTGTTTCGTTTGCACTGCTGAAGACATTTCTCATGTTTGAATTTTCTCTTACATCCTTAGAAATTTTCTCTTACATCCTTACATCCTCCATTTTCTCTGGGCAGTCTACCTGTATGGAATAGTTCTCTGTTAATAACTAAAGTCAATTATTTACTCGGGAAATACCTTTGAGTACCTGCTGAGTTCAAGATAATGTGCCAACATTAATAAAGCTAAATATCCCATCGAAAATTCATCCATGCATTAATTCAGAAAGTATTCATTGAATACCTGTCTTATGCTGGATGTCATTTTAGATACTGGAGTTAGAAGTTAGTGAATTAAAATTATAGTTGGGGAGGACATGTATAACTGTTATCACAGTGCAGTGAAAGGACAGAATCTTCCTGAGGTGATTAGGAAAGATTTTATATGCATGTACACATCCTTTCTCTTAGTATTCCCTAAATAAATCTCACCTTAGGGTTGGGAAGGTGGCTCAGTGGTAGAGTGCTTGCCTTGCATGCATGAGGCCCTGGGTTTAATTCCTTAGTACCACATAAGCAGAAAAAGCCAGAAGTGGCGCTGTGGCTCAGGTGGTAGAGTATTAGCCTTGAGCTGAAGAGCTGAGGGACAGTGCCCAGGCCCAGAGTTCAGGCCCCACGACTGACACACACTCACACACACACAATATCTCACCTTAGAAGTTGGTGTTACTTCTGTGGCTGCTTTGGAAATTTGTACTCATCCATCAATGCTAAGTTTACATGTCATCACAATGTTTTAGGAATAGAGAGTAGAGGCTCCTGACAAAGCATTGAGACCTTAAAAGTCTTAGGAAGTTTGGAAGAGTCTTTATGTACCATGCTTGATGGGGCTGATGTTACTTTTATTTAAAGGTTTCAGGTGAGGTTGATAATTTTAATGTTAGTTTGAAAAATGTCATTTAATGGAGAAGAGATTATCAATCTGGCAACAGTCTCGTCATTTGGTCATTGTTCTATAATTGTCCATAATTGACTAATCAGGACAGTTGAAATCCTAACCTGTAATGGACAGGAAAGACAGGAAATTTGAGATGGCATTTTGGAGGAAGAATGAAAATAATTTGGTTATTGTGAACTTCAAAAACAATAGGTTGTTGGTATTGTACTAACTGTGGCAGTATTTTGGAACAATCCTTTCAGAAAGAAGAAGTCCTGTTAATTGTATTTAATTTATTTTTTGGCCGTGGGGCCTGAACTCTGGGCCTGGGCGCTGTCCCTGACCCCATCAGCTCAATGCTAGTGCTCTACCACTTGAGCCTCAGCGCCACTTCCGGCTTTTTCTGTTTATGTGGTGCTGAGGAATCGAACCCAGGGCTTCATGCACGCAAGGCAAGCACTCTACCACTGAGCTGTTACATTTCCAACCCGTGTTAATTTTTTTAAAGATATATATTTAGTTCTAGCAAGATATCCTTGTGAAAAAGTCTAGATGGTACTTATACATATGAATTAGAAATTCAGAAAGTGGTAGACAACTAGTTGACAGGAATTATTTTATATAGGTGATTATTTAAACTGGAAATTTCCCAGCTCTACCCTTGAGTAGGCTTGGATAAGTTACCTAACTTCTTTGTACTTCAATTTTCCTATTTATAAAATGGGAAGATAATAGTTCCTACTTCAGAAGGATGTTTGATAGATTACCTTTAATTGATAAATCACTTAGAAGAATGCGATTGAAAGAGTGATTGTAATTGAAAAAAATTAATTGGTAGCTACTTTATGTGGGTTAAGAGGAGAAAATTGAGCATCTTTTAGGGAGGAAAAGCTTTTCAAAGTAGACTAAGAAGAAATGATCCTAGAAATAGGAGAAGAGAATTACAAAAAGGAGTAGAAGGTTAATTTCAGGATTACCTAGTTAAGATTTGTCATCCTACAAAGTGACTTCTCATAGAGAAGAAGGGTCTAGTGCTGCTTTCTTGACTTGAATCAGGCTATGACTACAGTACAAGCAATGTAATACATTGATTTCCAAGATGAAGTTGTGAATGTTAATATGCCTGGACCTTTTCTGATATTCTGTTTTGGACTCAGACACCTTTTCTTTTTTTTTTGTCAGCCGTGGGGCTTGAACTCTGGGCCTGGGTGCTGTCCTTCAGCTCTTCAGCCCAAGGCGAGCACTCTACCACTTGAGCTACAGCGCCACTTCCGGTTTTCTGGTGGTTTATTGGAGATAGGAGTCTCACGGTCTCTCTTTGCCCGGGCTGGCTTTGAACCGCGATCCTCAGATCTCAGCCTCCTGAGTAGCTAGGATTACAGGCGTGAGCCACCAGCGCCCGGCTTCAGGCACCTTTTCAAAGAACCAAGACCCTTGGCCTTCAGCTTTGGCTAAACTGCCAAAAGACACTAAACACCAATTTGTCATCCTATGTTGAACAGAACTAGCTGATGTCATGTGGAGCAAACACAGGATTTGCTTGCTAAGTTGAT